GATGATCCTCCGAGTAAGATTGGTGAGCCTCCTTCGCTGGTACGCTTGATGCTCCAAGATGGGGGTGGTACCTGCAAAAGAGACTCCGATGCTAAAGTTAGAGTTTGTATGAGTATGAATCTTGTATATATAATGCACGTACCTTGATGTATATTAGGGTTGCGTTGGGCCTTGAGCCTGAAATTAGTTGTGATTTGATTTGGTAGAGAATCTCGCCTAGACCGAGATTCCCTGAGATCGGTTACGATCTATTTAAGTGCCGAGCTGACGCCACGTAACGCGTGTCCGAGGTCAGCTTGTGCTATGGTACCGAGCTCGGAGCTCGGCTTCAGAGTACGGATAGTACAATTATTATTTGTAAAATTGATTAGAAGGATTATATTTTTTCATACAAAGTGTCAAAGTAATATATCCTTCTATTAAAAAAAATGAAAATATACATAAAAATGTACTAGTAAAAAAATATAAAATAATAATAATTACTTAAAAAGAGAAGTTAAGATATAAAATAGAAATGTTGATTCAACATAAATTCAACTACAAATTTATCTTTTAAAGACATAACAAAAATTGGGTTTAAAAAATGACGTACCATGTTGACATATTGAGCAAGATAAGCAAGATAAGTTGGACAAGTTTATTTACTCAATATAATAAAACAAAATATAAGAAATATTTACATTATATCTACATCAAATTATAATTAGATATATATTATAAAAGTTAATAATGTAGAAATTGATAATATAATAATTAAATTTGTATTTATTATTATTATTTATTAATATTTACATTATTAAAAAATATAATATTTAATAATTTAATATATACAATAAATATTTCTTTTTATTACACTTTATTTTTTAAGTTCATTCCTGGAGTATCTACCGTTAATAGCAGTAACTAATTTCCTCACTACCTTGAAGACACCTCAAAAAATAGGATAGCTGGCTTAACGCGACTGCATACACATATATAAAAGGAAGAATACTTTTTAGATATAACGTATCATTTTATTTATATATATATTTTAACTCACCAACTTTAACGTACGATAGCATATCCCTACATCAGAACATGTATATTTGGCAACATATATCTACTTAATCCATGGTTCCAAACAAGCATAACAATGCATCAAAAAAACATATAACAATTCATACATTTTGAAAGAAGTTTCTCAAGCAGTCATGTCAGACCTGTCAGGTATCACATACATGCAGATAAAAAAATTGCAGCTTAATTTAATCTAGATCAGTAACTAATTTAATTAAAAAAATAGAAAAATGAATCAGACTATGATACTAATTAAAAGGGAAGAATTAGCCCTCAAAACACACACAATAGAATAAACTGCACCTATTTTGTATCAAAAATAGGTCCTATTTATTCCACTAAGGGACACGTTGGCTGGTGAGTCTGGCCAGCTATAATTTAAAAAAAAATTTAATTATACTTTTAATTCTTATAAAATAAGTAAATTTTAATTTTAATTTTCAAAAAATTATCTTTCATTCTCGTAAAATTTTAAACTATTATTTTTAATTTGTTATTATATAATATTTTTATCTACTTATTTATTTATTAAAAGGTTAATTGATAACATATTATATTATCTTTATGATATCATGTTAATTTATGACACTTTTAATTTTTTTTATAAATTCTTAAAATAAATATTATTTATTTACTTCAAATCATTTTTAGGACCAAAAATAATAATTTTATATTTTAGAGAGATAAAAATAAAAAAAAATATTTTACAGAAACCAAATTAAAATTCATTTATTTTATATAGATAAAAAAAATATTTTACAAATTTTAGAATGATGAAAAACAAAATCCTTTTTATAGGATAAAAAACAAAACTCATGTATTTTACATAAACTTAAAAATATATTTAAGTCTTTTTTAAAATACTAAAATTATTAAATTTATTAATAAAGGGTTTTGATTTAAAATTGTAAAATATAAATTTTTTATAATTTTTTTACCTCACTTATACTTAATTCTATGTTCTTGAATCTTGATTCTGATTCTAACGCTCCCAACAAACGAAATTGCAAATTGCAATTCTTCTTGAAGTGGTCAGAGGCAAGGCAAACACATTTGACGGACACATCAAAATCAAATACCAATCTTAGTGAAGTTTTACATTATTTAAATAATTCTTTTTTACATACATATGCATAACTGATAATTTCTCATTTTTATAATAATATAATTAGGAATAAAATCAACGAATAATACTTATTATTATTATTATTATTATTAATTATTAATTATTAATTATTGACTCAAGTATTCAAGATACACATTGTTGTATTATTTATAGCTTTTATTTTGTTTTCTCTAATTTTATACTAAAATAATAATAAAATCTAAAAAAATATAGATATTTTTTATTTAAAGTTTGATGTGAATATATTTATTGAAGAATTTTTATTATTATTTTTTTTGTAGTTGGCCTCTTATCTTACAAGTATGGCTCCGTCCTATGATTTTTTGAACACTAGTTGTTCATTCATAAACTAACTAGAATATTAGATTATTCAAATATTCACAAAACCTAATCAGGCACTTGTCACCCACACAAACAAAAATCAAAATTGTAATTCATTTGATTGTCTAAGTTTTAAATTATTTTTAAATAAAAAGTAAATCAAAAGAATCACCACTTTTCAATATTGTAACCAAAAGAGTTGATGTAATTGCTTACATCATACATAAAAGTTGATTTCTTAAATTCTTATATCGTTACGGTTGATTTCTTAAACTAATTAAAGGTGCGTGTTCTCTATTGAAAATAAAGAAATAAAAATATATAATTTGCTTTCATATAGCAAAGGAAGAAGAAAAATAAATAAGGAGAAAATTAATAAAAGGAAAATACAATATACAATTTGGTTAAAGAAAAAAAAAACGATTGTGATAAATGAGATAAAAGACACTATAATAAAGGGTAATTATAATTATATATCATTGTTTAGTGAATGAGATATATGAAATTGAAAGACACATATATAGTGTATGTTTCAGAATATATCCAAAAGTTTATAAATATATTTTTCTATAAATTAATTAAGATAATTTATAGTTTATAAATTATTATTATTTTTGTCTTTTTACTATTAATTTATTTGATTTTTCAATTTAAAAATTATTTTATCTACATATTAGTTTTCTTATCCTCTTTATTAAATAAATAAATAAATATATCATTTTATTAATCAATTATTAGTTAATCATATCAAACACTTCCAATTAATTAACTTCCAACTTCTTATCTTATAATTTATAATTTATAACTTATAAGCTTTCAAATATCTTATAAGTTAATTTTACCAATCATACACATAACACATTTATCAAATACACTGTGCATCCCGTAATAAGAGACAAATTTTATAAAAATGGACTTATTATTGTTACAAAATTTGTTCACATTTTACACAAATTAAGAAAAAAAATAATAAATATATAAGAGAAAATAGTAATTTTACGAAACTAATCTCATAATTAATTTTATTTGTTAGAAATAATGAAACACAATAATATGTATATATGAATATTATGAAAGGTATATATGATATTATATATATATATATAAATAATTAATACTATATTAAAAAATAATATGACAGCTTATTTTTTTCTTAAAACATGAAACATATTATTGGATGGAGGAATCACATCCTAAAACCTAAAATTTTAAGTATAATAAAAACTAAATCAAAAATCAACATACATATAAAGACTAGCCCCTTGTTTAGTTGGTGACAAATTAGTGAAAAATAAAAGAAAAAAGTAGAAATGAAAAGGTGAAAATGATCAATAGATGGTTTGATTGATGAGAAATGAAGAGAAAAAATTGAAAATTGGTGAACCATCCCTTTTATTCCGGCACAAGACTAAGGCTCAGAGATGGTAGAAGTTTAATTCACGTTTTGTGGCGACTTTTTTTTTTTGTATTTATTTATGATCAAATTGGCAATTTCTTGACCGCAATCATATTTGAAATATTTTTCTTTAAATTTGATGGGAGTCTCTAAACTGTTACAATTATTATAATTAATTACAAAAATATATAATCAATTAAAATTTGTTGCTGCAAATGTAAATTCCATAAAAATTTATTTTCACCATAAACTAATACATTATTTATTTATTTATTTTGTATTTCTCTCTTTTATATTTCTTCTAAGTTTCTCTTAAATTAAACAATCAAATTTTCATTTTATATCTACTCATATATTTCTCTTGTTATTTTTTATTTTATTTTATTTTTCACCTATTTCTTTTCTCTTTACATAATAACACATCCTAAATAGTTAATTAAACATAAAAGAAAAAAAAAAACAAATTTTAATGATATCCAAAAAAAAATACCTATAACAATATATAAAGAGATATTCTATTTTTGTGTCCATTTTTTTTAAAATAATTATACTCTTATATTTATATTATATTTTTTCATTAATATATACAAATAAAAAAATAATGTATATACAAAATAATAAATACTTTTTAAAAATCTATAATAATATATAAAAGAAATATTCATTTTAATGTCTATTTTTAAAGACAATTATTTCTATATATTTATATTATATTTTTTATCAATATATATTTAAAGATAAAATAGAAAAAAACAATAACTATTTTTTCAAAAATAATAACTATCCATTTATTTATTTATTTTACAGAAATGACTTTTTCATTGACAGTACTTCAATAAATGCTATGCAGTATGCACAATCCAATTACGTACAGTGCTTACTTAATCCGTAACACGTGATGGGGAGTGAGAAAAATTGTTGTACGATCCAAGACGACAGTGTCTCGATCAAATTTTGAATGACACGTTATAAACTATATTTGGTTAATCGAAAATATATGTTCACGTGTCCGATTAACCGAGACTTCGTAATTTCGGATCTAGTAGGGGTAGGGACACCAGCTTCCATCACATATTCATGGTGCTAAAACTTTCAAATCCATCTGTAGAAAGCCAATATATGAAAATAACACCAGACAAAATCCTATAGCATGCTACTGTGTGAACCAAAAAGAGTGATCATGAGTAATATATATTTGGAGTTAAACTAGAAGATTATTTGATTATGCTATCAGAGATAGTTAATCAAAATTCCAAAACTCACTTTAGTCACTAACTATAAACATGTATGCCTTAGAATTCTTTTGCACTGCAAATCATTTTTCTACTTGAATCTTCATCATCATTCTTGGTTCTCCTTTAACTCAACCATGGCAGATGAGGTGATTCTGCTAGATTTCTGGCCAAGTCCTTTTGGGATGAGGGTCAGAATAGCCCTTGCTGAAAAGGGCATCAAGTATGAGTACAAAGAAGAGGACTTGAGGAACAAGAGCCCTATGCTCCTTCAAATGAACCCGGTTCACAAGAAAATCCCGGTTCTCATCCACAATGGCAACCCCATTTGTGAATCTCTCATCGCTGTTCAGTACATTGACGAGGTTTGGAATGACAAAAATCCCTTGTTGCCTTCTGATCCCTACAAGAGATCTCAGGCTAGATTCTGGGCTGACTATGTTGACAAGAAGGTAACCTTTTTTGCTTCATTGCAGTGATTGTTGCTTGTGATTCCCTTACCATTGTTTTTATTATATGTTTTTCGCATGAAATTTTGTAAATTGGTTGATTTATTACCATTTTGCTGCCTATTATTATTTCTAACCCATTTTGGATGTAATCTAGAATATGGTATGCATGCAAAATGTAAGGAAGATGGTCCCCAATTTGGATAAAAAAAAATAGCTACTCTCTTTAGACCCCTTTTTTGTCCAAGATTCTCCACTAATGTGGTTCAGTTACTTTTCCTGTTTTAAAGTTTTGTTTTGTTGCCTTTTCTTGGTAATTATTCCTCTACCTATGTCACCAACGCAGCAAACAAAAAGTATATTTGAATATCTTCATGAGTTTAATGGTGATACAATATTAATATAAAAAAAATTACATAAACAATCAATAAAAAAATAATATATGATTTCTATGACTTTTAATATAATTATCATAAAAGTGAATAAATTTATCATTCATGAGGATTGTGATTTGAAGACCATGTTTAAATCCTATTTTTATTGGTGGCTCTTATGTATCATGTGCCTTTTGATATTATTATGGTAGGCATTAGTGTGTTGATTACTTGTGACCATTTTCTCATTCTTACATTTTATGATCTAATTGAGTGTTAATTCTGAATGTGGAATAGATATATGATCTTGGAAGGAAGATTTGGACATCAAAAGGAGAAGAAAGAGAAGGTGCCAAGAAGGAGTTCATAGAAGTCCTTAAATTGTTGGAGGAACAGCTGGGAGACAAGACTTACTTTGGAGGAGACAAACTTGGTTTTGTGGATATAGCACTTGTTCCATTCTACACTTGGTTTAAAGCTTTAGAGACTTTTGGCACCCTCAACATAAACAGTGAGTGCCCCAAGTTTGTTGCTTGGGCCAATAGGTGCATGCAGAAAGAGAGCGTTTCTAAGTCTCTTCCCGATCAGAATCAGGTTTTTGACTTCATTGCGGATGTAAAAAAGAAGTTAGGCATTGAGTAGGTTGGAGCTTGTTGGCACTTGTCTTCCATTGGTCGTTTCTAAACCTTTCAACTAAATAATATTTGTGTAATAAAAGGCACTTGGATGTGCCAAGTTCATGCTTTCTGTAGGAGTGTGTAGCTTTTCAAAACTTAAAAGTAACTTTCATGTGTTTGTTGGTTTTGTAATTGAGTTTTTCTTTATTATCATATACTTGAGTCACTGGATGGATGATAGGGTCTGTACTAGGAAAGTAAGGAAACTAACCATTTACGTCACTGTTATTGCTTTGTTTGTTAAATGGGAATATAATTAGAAATGAATTAAGAAACAAACTTGTGAGTTCACAACTTCGTGATTTGTAACATCCTGATTGTTCCATACTTCTTTGACCTGTGATTACTACTAATATTATCACTTCAGGCTAATCATCAAAAAGAGACTTGTTCTTTTAATTACTGTTACCAAACCAATGTTTCAATTGCCGTCTAAATCAGGTGCTGTTATCAAGAAATGACACGCAGATGAAAAAATATGCATAGAAGCATCCGTGAATGTGATAGTGACTTTTCTTTTGGTGGATAGTTAATTGTCAGATCACATTTCAAGCCAACTCCACATTCTCTGCAAGTTGTCTCACAGACTCCTTTGCCGCTCACTTTTGGTTCCATCATTAGTTTTCTTACATTGGAGTCTTGTTTCTCATAAATGGGAGATGAGGTGATTCTATTGAATTTCTGGTTAAGCCCTTATGGGATGAGGGTCCGGATTGCACTAGAGGAAAAGGGCATAAAGTTTGATAATAGAGAAGAGGACTTAAGCCACAAGAGCCCTTTGCTTCTGCAAATGAACCCAGTTCATAAGAAAATTCCGGTTCTCATTCACAATGGCAAACCAATTTGTGAATCACTCATTGTTGTTGAGTATATATATATTGATGAGGTTTGGAATGATAAGTCTCCCTTGTTGCCTTCTGATCCTTATCAGAGATCACAAGCTAGATTCTGGGCTAACTATGTTGACACCAAGGTACTTTACTCTCTCTGGTGCTTCATTATGATGATTATGATTGATCATCACTGTTTTTGTTTTCCTATCATTTTATCAAGAGCAAGTTATACTCAACCCTTGTGATTTCTTCGAAATTCGCACAACCCCTCTAACTCTTTTTTCTCTGCAATAACCATCTTAATTTTTCAATGACATCCACTGTGAAATAGATGTATGAGATTGCCTCGATGATTTGGAGAAGTGAAGGAGAAGAGAAAGAAGCTGCCAAGGAAGAATTCTTGGAAGGTGTACAGTTATTGAAAGAACAACTGGGGGACAAGCCTTATTTTGGTGGAGACAACCTTGGCCTTGTGGATGTTGCACTTATTCCTTTCATATGTTATTATCATAACTATAATATATGTGACAATTTCATCAACGAGGCACGGTGCCCCAAAATCATTGCTTGGTCCAAGAGGTGCACTCTAAAACAGACTGTGTCCAAGTTATTTCCCGAGGAAAAGAGGGCCAAAGAGTTTGTTTCGCAAAAGAGAAAGGATTTGAAGAATGAGTAGATTATGCGAGACCTTTACTACCCCAACACATATATAATATAATTTAATTAAGAAGGGCTGAGCCGTTCAAATCCGTTGAGCGCCTGAGAGATTCTTCACTGTTAGGCAAGCACAAGGGGTTGGGCGCTTCTTATCCGCTGAGCGCCTAGGAGGCAGAGAGCACTCCTTCTTCCAGGGCCAAAACCGCTCAGCGCCTTAGAGTGGCTGACTCTTGTTATTTGTATGTAATTTGGTATATTAAAAATATATGAATTGTCTGGTATTTTATTAATTTGCAGGTTTTGTTCAGGGATCCTCCTAAAATAAGTCAAATATTTAAAAAAAATTAACAACTTTTAAAATCGGTCATGGCATGATCGATTTTAAAAGTGGGACTTTTAAAATCGGTCATGACCGATTTTAAAAGTGCCAATTTTCAAAATTGGCTCTTTTAAAATCCCACAGAACCGATTTTAAAAGTAAAAAATGACCTATTTTAAAAGTGTTTTTTCCATTAGTGTATACTATTCTTTCCATGGACGCCCCCACTCCAATCACCACCTCCCTCCACTGAACGCCCTCGCCGTCTACGACCTTCGCTCCCGCTACCGCCTCTTCCTCTCCCCGCTCCCCTCTAAAGACGTTGACGTGACAAACGATGTCGCCGTGGACCACTATGGCAACGCGTTCGTGATGAACTCCAGCGAAAACTTCATTTGGAAGGTATCCGTCGACGGATCTGCTCGGTCTTCTTTCGATCTTTGATGTACATGGAGGCGACGAAGAATCCTTCCAACGGCAACGCACCTTACGGTTTCGTAGGGTTGAATGGAATCGCCTACGTGAGCAAGAGATACCTCTTAGTGGTGCAATCAAGCAGCGGGAAGGTTTTCAAGGTAGACGCAGTGGACGACACAATGAGGAAGGTGTTGTTGAACGAGGATCTAGTAGGCGCGGAAGACATTGCGGTGAGGAAGGACGACGTGGCGGAGGTGATTTCACCGATGAAGGTACTGTGGTTGATGAAGAGCGATGATAACTAAGCGGAGGGAGCGGTGTACGACAAGGTGGAGGTGAACGTGCGACAGTTTCCGATGTTGGTGGTGATCAGAGATAAGGATAAGGTTTATGTGTTGTATGGGTGTAAACACCCAATTTCGTCCGGGAGGCAAACAAACAACAAGATAGAACATCAGCGGACCCAGAAGCCTAAATTAACTTTTTTAGTGACCCGGAACGGGCCGTTCCAAAATCGGAACGGGCCGTTCTCAAGTCCGAAACGGGCCATTCTCGAATCAGAACGGGCCGTTCCGAGGCTTCTAAAAGGCCTAAAAAATGTAGGTTGGAACAGGCCGTTCTAGACCAGAACCAAACCAATCAAAGGGGCTAAATTTTGTACCCCGGAACGGGCCGTTCTCACTTCAGAACAGGCCGTTTTGGTTCCCCGGAACGGGCCGTTCTGATTTTAGAACGGGCCGTTCTAGGGTACGAAAATGCTACATAACGTTCGGATTCGGAATGGGCCGTTCTGAATCCAGAATGGGCCGTTCCGGCCCACGTCTGATGCCTATAAATAAGAAATCTCGAGCACAGTTCAGGGGACCTCCAAAATTTCATCCAGCACTCCTTAAAGCTCGAAATTTCTCCCTTTTTTTTTCTCTCTCTCCTATTATATTTCTTAAGTATTGTGAGGCAATTGTAGGTGAAAGGTTGCCATAAAGCACCTAAAACCTCCATAGTTGAAGATCCGATAAAGCTTGTTACGAGGTATTACTCATCAATCTCTTTTTTTATCTTTCTCTTCTTTTATTTTACATATTACTATAATAAACGCAATTATGTAGATATCTTAGGGGTTCACCGTGTAATTGAATTTTCATGTAAATAATCATTAATAAAGGGGATTAAATATTTAAACTATTAATTTTTATTACGTTATTGATAAGTGTCTAATTAGTTTGATGAAATTTAAATTAGAGACACTTATCTAGCACACTTTTTGTACATATTGATATAATTTTGGTCTATATATACTTAGAATCAAAGAGGGACTCTTAATTTACATTATTACATGGAGTGATGAGTTTTTGATCAGATTTTCCTCTTATTTTGTAGTTTTTGAAATCTGGAGGCAAACGGCTGAGCGCCTTGAAACGGCTGAGCGCTTTCAAGCCAGAGAGCTCAACAAATGCAACAAAGGAGAGGCGCTCACCCCTGCCCTTTTATAAGTGCTAGAATTAAAACAGAGTAGGCAGGAAAGAAAAGAATCCGCTCAGCGCCTTGAAACGGCTGAGCGGTTTGAAGAATTCTTCACCATGAAGTAATTTGAAGGGCTGAGCCGTTCAAATCCGTTGAGCGCCTGAGAGATTCTTCACTGTTAGGCAAGCACAAGGGGCTGGGCGCTTCTTATCCGCTGAGCGCCTAGGAGGCAGAGAGCACTCCTTCTTCCAGGGCCAAAACCGCTCAGCGCCTTAGAGTGGTTGAGCGCCTCTCCTTTGTTGCATTTGTTGAGCTCTCTGGCTTGAAAGCGCTCAGCCGTTTCAAGGCGCTCAGCCGTTTGCCTCCAGATTTCAAAAACTACAAAATAAGAGGAAAATCTGATCAAAAACTCATCACTCCATGTAATAATGTAAATTAAGAGTCCCTCTTTGATTCTAAGTATATATAGACCAAAATTATATCAATATGTACAAAAAGTGTGCTAGATAAGTGTCTCTAATTTAAATTTCATCAAACTAATTAGACACTTATCAATAACGTAATAAAAATTAATAGTTTAAATATTTAATCCCCTTTATTAATGATTATTTACATGAAAATTCAATTACACGGTGAACCCCTAAGATATCTACATAATTGCGTTTATTATAGTAATATGTAAAATAAAAGAAGAGAAAGATAAAAAAAGAGATTGATGAGTAATACCTCGTAACAAGCTTTATCGGATCTTCAACTATGGAGGTTTTAGGTGCTTTATGGCAACCTTTCACCTACAATTGCCTCACAATACTTAAGAAATATAATAGGAGAGAGAGAAAAAAAAAGGGAGAAATTTCGAGCTTTAAGGAGTGCTGGATGAAATTTTGGAGGTCCCCTGAACTGTGCTCGAGATTTCTTATTTATAGGCATCAGACGTGGGCCGGAACGGCCCATTCTGGATTCAGAACGGCCCATTCCGAATCCGAACGTTATGTAGCATTTTCGTACCCTAGAACGGCCCGTTCTAAAATCAGAACGGCCCGTTCCGGGGAACCAAAACGGCCTGTTCTGAAGTGAGAACGGCCCGTTCCGGGGTACAAAATTTAGCCCCTTTGATTGGTTTGGTTCTGGTCTAGAACGGCCTGTTCCAACCTACATTTTTTAGGCCTTTTAGAAGCCTCGGAACGGCCCGTTCTGATTCGAGAATGGCCCGTTTCGGACTTGAGAACGGCCCGTTCCGATTTTGGAACGGCCCGTTCCGGGTCACTAAAAAAGTTAATTTAGGCTTCTGGGTCCGCTGATGTTCTATCTTGTTGTTTGTTTGCCTCCCGGACGAAATTGGGTGTTTACACCCATACAACACATAAACCTTATCCTTATCTCTGATCACCACCAACATCGGAAACTGTCGCACGTTCACCTCCACCTTGTCGTACACCGCTCCCTCCGCTTAGTTATCATCGCTCTTCATCAACCACAGTACCTTCATCGGTGAAATCACCTCCGCCACGTCGTCCTTCCTCACCGCAATGTCTTCCGCGCCTACTAGATCCTCGTTCAACAACACCTTCCTCATTGTGTCGTCCACTGCGTCTACCTTGAAAACCTTCCCGCTGCTTGATTGCACCACTAAGAGGTATCTCTTGCTCACGTAGGCGATTCCATTCAACCCTACGAAACCGTAAGGTGCGTTGCCGTTGGAAGGATTCTTCGTCGCCTCCATGTACATCAAAGATCGAAAGAAGACCGAGCAGATCCGTCGACGGATACCTTCCAAATGAAGTTTTCGCTGGAGTTCATCACGAACGCGTTGCCATAGTGGTCCACGGCGACATCGTTTGTCACGTCAACGTCTTTAGAGGGGAGCGGGGAGAGGAAGAGGCGGTAGCGGGAGCGAAGGTCGTAGACGGCGAGGGCGTTCAGTGGAGGGAGGTGGTGATTGGAGTGGGGGCGTCCATGGAAAGAATAGTATACACTAATGGAAAAAACACTTTTAAAATAGGTCATTTTTTACTTTTAAAATCGGTTCTGTGGGATTTTAAAAGAGCCAATTTTGAAAATTGGCACTTTTAAAATCGGTCATGACCGATTTTAAAAGTCCCACTTTTAAAATCGATCATGCCATGACCGATTTTAAAAGTTGTTAATTTTTTTTAAATATTTGACTTATTTTAGGAGGATCCCTGAACAAAACCTGCAAATTAATAAAATACCAGACAATTCATATATTTTTAATATACCAAATTACATACAAATAACAAGAGTTGGTAAATGTCAACCATATATGTAATTAAAGTAACTTACAAATTATGTACATCCTAAACTACAAAATGAGTAAAACTATAATCATAACTCGTAGCTAGCCAATGTGTCAATGAAAAATGTAGCCCATTGCTCCCTAATGGTGTTTATATCTTCTAGGGACAATGGTGATCGATCTATAAATATCTGTTAAGAAAATTTAGAACAATTAGAAGTAACTCTTAAAACATGATAAAATGCAAACTTAAAATAAAAAATTTTAAAATTCTAAACGTACTTCAGTCCACCCAGATACTATTTGTGAATCAACAATAGTATGCTCGCAACACGAGTGATACCACTCAACCACTACTTCTTACATAAGCAAGAAGTATCAAAACAAATAAACAATCATGAATAACATCAACTAGGCTATATCAAGTCTTTCAGCCAAATTCTGAGAAAACAATATACAAGTACAAAATATCAAAACTCCAATTCTCAGATACAATCTCCTTGGATTCAATCGCAATCACTATAGATTCTAGAAATTCCAATAACCGTAAACTTTCGACAAATTA